CGGCGTTCTGAATCCGCGCTGCCTTAGCTTCACAAGGGCGCCGGCTCGCTTCCCCCGTCTGCGCGTCCTGAAGAGCTTGATCAGTGCCGCAGCTCCCCCGACTACAATGTCCAGCAAAACATCAGAATAATCGAAAACCAGTGAAATATCGGGTGGTGTGTACTTCCGAATGTCCAGCAATTTGTCTCTGGTGAAACTGATTGCAGGGATATAACTAATGACAGGACAAACTAACAAAAGCATAAAAACAACAGCGGAGCACGCCACGAAGGCAGCCATCAGCGTCGGCGCCATCACAAACTTATTGTATGGATTTTTTAAAATTTGCTATTAGCAAGACATAAGAGTTCAAAATGTAATTTCCATCACTGTCATTTTCATCAAAGAATTTGAATTAACAGATGTGGTGGAAATTACACTGTGGGGGGAATTTTAAAGGGGTCATATGATGCTGCTAAAAAGAACATTATTTTGTGTATTTGGTGTAATGAAATGTGTTTATGCGGTTTAAGGTTAAAAAAACACATTATTTTCCACATACTGTACATTATTGTTTCTCCTCTATGCCCCGCCTTTCTGAAACGCGTCGATTTTTACAAAGCTCATCGGTCTGAAAAAGCGAGGTGTGCTGTGATTGGCCAGCTATCCAGTGTGTTGTGATTGGCCGAATACCTCAAGCGTGTGACGGAAATGTTACGCCCCTTACCATATTGTGATGATGCCCTGTCAGGCCAGAGCGATGATTCAAAAACATGAAAACCAATTATAAACGAGGCATTCGTTGCATCCAGTTGGTACATAATTATGGATTACAATCACTTATACTGTCTTTTTTATACTGTCTTATTCTGCCGCGTAAACATAAAACCATGTCTGCATTTGTGATCGGAGAAATGATAAACAACAAGCCCTACTCTACACTGCCCAAAAAACTCGCTTTAAATATATAAAATATAAAAACTCTTCAAATATATAAAACGTACTTACAGTCTTTGAGTCAGAACAGCCGGCATTGTAGTCTAATCTCACAGGATCTGGAAATGGTCGTCCATAAAATGTGCTGCACACATCTGAATATTTGGGTTGAAGTGTTCTGGAACAGTGTTGTAAATACAACTTAACCACTGATTTCTAGTCGTGTCCATTTTTGGAAGGCCAAACAAAGTAGTTTCGCTTTCACAACGAAACACAGCGTCACACATGGCTGCCTAGAGTGATCAGAGGCTGGGGGATAAAGTGAGGAACGGCCGGAGGGTTAGAGTGAGCAGAGGTGGCGGATTCGATGAAGGAGCGTCTGGAGGGCTTGCGGTAACCACATGTGACGACCCCAAGCTCGACTCCGCTTAGTTCACAGTGAAAGCCGATCCGGCGATCCACAGCGCAAAGTTGTAGTATTTCCTCAGCAATCAGCACGGATCAGCTCCAGGCATGACGAAGCAGATATCGTCCTCTTTTGGAAGGCCAAACAAAGTAGTTTCGCTTTCACAACGAAACACAGCGTCACACATGGCTGCCTAGAGTGATCAGAGGCTGGGGGATAAAGTGAGGAACGGCCGGAGGGTTAGAGTGAGCAGAGGTGGCGGATTCGATGAAGGAGCGTCTGGAGGGCTTGCGGTAACCACATGTGACGACCCCAAGCTCGACTCCGCTTAGTTCACAGTGAAAGCCGATCCGGCGATCCACAGCGCAAAGTTGTAGAATAAACGTTACAAGTGTTTCAGTATTTATTGTGAGAAAAAAAAACGAAGAGCTTGAGATGAAATGACAATGTGTGAAAGCAAAGAAAATATAACTTTTTTTACTTTTAATAATTTCCATTCAAGCTGTATAATTTTGACAACGACAAAATGTGTGAAAATATTTTTATCAGAATCAGAATCAGAATGAGCTTTATTGCCAGGTATGTTAACATATGAGGAATTTGTTTTCATGACAGAAGCTTCCACAGTGTAACAGAATGACCGTGACAGAACAAAAAAACAGATAATAAAAAAAAAAAAATAAATAAAAAATAGAACAAGTAAAATAAGGAATAAAAAATATACAAATCGACAATTGTATGTACAGGTATATAACAATAGAC